GAATGAATGAATGAATGAATGAATGAATGAATGAATGAATGAATGAATGACACGCTAAGTAAACCATAGAAGGAACTATGTTAATTTGCTTAGTCACCCCCATGCAAGGAGATTAGGAGCAATGGAGGTTCATCCACAGAAGGGCAGAAATTTATATTACTGTCATACATTCAATTTTTCTGTTTCTTGTCTTTGACTTGGTCAACTTAGACAATGAAAACCAGCCCATGGGGAAAAAAGCTATATTGAGATTTTTAGCAATTACTTAAATTCAGAGATCTCATTACTAATTATCTGATTGTTGGGGTGCTTTCTTAATAAAATGTAGATCAAAACATTTTTCCCTGAAATTGTCTTCCATCTGTTTTATAGGCAGTTGGAGAAAATTTTTCTGTTGTGCTGTTCCATCAGAAACTCAGTCCTCAACTTGGTAAGATCCATCCCTCTTTCTTAGTTAATGGTACCTTTTAGAAGTTGCTTCAGACATTGATTTTATGCCTTATTGCTATAGTATATTATTGTACATACATAATAATTGTATGAATACACTGAATGTATGATAGTTATAGTTTGCTTCTTGTTTGTGTGGCTCTCAAAAAATTGTGGAATAAATGTCATGTGAGAAATGATAAAACAAAAGAGTAAAATTAATGGATGTACACTCTGCTATCATAGTGATTTGATAAAGAGAAACACTTTGTTAAAGACAAATAACTCAGACTTTGCAGATTGTATTATACATTGCTCAGCCAAAGAAAAAACTGTTGTACTGGAAAATATGTTTAAAAGAAATTATTCTTCATTGTTTCTGGTGAGTGCTGATCTGTATTGTGACACTTGCTCATGCAACCTGCAGATGCAAACTGAGCACTGAAGTATTAAGGCTAGCAGGGGAGTGGATCTCCATACTAGCCTTTCCCAACTTTGGACAATCCAGATGTATTTTGGAAGTGGAACATTCAGCATGGTGTTTCACCATGTTGGTGCAGAATGCTGGGGTTGCAATTCCAGTATACTTGGAGTCTGCCAGTTTGGGGAAGCCTGGTCTATACAATGGCTCCTGAAAATTAGTGGTGGTATGGAACAAATATTATCAGACTGATTTGTACTGCAAATAGTTCCCAAGTGTGGAATGATTTCCATTCCTTGAAATGGAATCAAAACTAGCCTTCAAAACTACCTATAAAGGTAATGTATAAGCTAGAGATTTCTCTGTAACATGATGTAGAGTGAGGCAATTGTCAACAGACAATTACTAAAACAGCCTATTCAGGATTCTGTCCATCCAGGACAGTTTTTCTCTTAATAAACTAGCGTATATATTTACCCCTATGCCTAATAAATTGATATGCCACATTCAAAAGATCAGTTTTATTTCCTTTTTTATAAACTGAAATAATACCATAAAGTAGGCAATTGTTAAATTTTACTCTCGTGGACTGTTAATATTCAGAGGTTCAGTCCTGGATTCTTCCCAGGTTTTATTTCTGCAACTATACCTCTTTTTATTTTAAAAGGGTTAGCAGTCAGGGGTTTCTTATTCTTTGATTTTGCAGTAATCACAAATTCTGCAATTTCAAATGTAAATATAGAACAATTTAATTCATGAACTAGCATTTCTTTAGTTAGTTCTGTAATGTTTTCCCAATGACTTAATTTTTTAAAACTTTCCATAATGCTGATTTATAGTCCTGAAGTCTCTGGTATCTGTTAAAGATGTAGTTGCCTACCAGGCTCTGAAAGCTTTTGTGTCTTATATATTTCAGCATTAATATTACTGGGCCTGAACACTTCAAATCTTCTTCAGAACTGTCTGAGCCAGATCTGGAGCTAGACCAGGATGAGGTAATTCAGTGAAGAAGCTAGCTTTTACAGTGTTTTCCCCAAAATTGGAAATGAACAGGTTGATGTCATTACAGATATTTAGTCTTTAAGTTACTGAAATGTACTTTGTGAATTCTTTATTTACATTAGTACTTGGCAGACTGGAAAGGGCAGTTGGGGAAAGAGTGGTGATAATGATGGCTGCTTGCTGCTTTTTACACTTAACACCCACAGCAACATCTATTTCAATAATGTCTCTTTTTAAAGATTGAAAGTTGATAGGGTTGACAAACTAATCCCCAAATGGTTTTGGCAACAGGTTACCTTCACTAGAAAACCAGAGTTTTTTCTCTCCTGCCTAGCTAAGCAGCTGTTTCTTCTGTGTGAGAAAAGGGGGGAGGAAAATAAATATAAGCCCTCCCTTGAAATAATTCTTTATGTTTCTACCTTCCCCTTCAAAATTATATTCCCTGTTGTGGGGATAGAAATGTCCCCAAATTTTGGAGAAGCACCAGGCTGAACGAATGTACGTCAAATGCAGATAAATTTATTGCAGCTTTCTTTTGTTGGTATGAGTAAGGTTCTTGGGCACTGTAACAATCAAAACAATATATGTAATGACAGATTTTGTTGAAAGACATGAGATTTGTTAACTGGAGGAACTATCTTCCTTTTAAAACTTCATCAATGAATGACTGACATATTTTCTTGAAAATCTGGAGGTGATTAATTTTTCTTTACCCAGACAGATTTGCTTTTGGGATAGTTTTTCAACAGTGCATATGTGGGGTAGAAATGCAAGCTGGGCCTTCCCAAGTGCCCCAACTCTTTTTCTCTCCTCTTAATTCTATCTTGCCTGATCAGGAGTTCTTGAAAACTGGAAAGTTTGCAACTATTTTGTGAACTTTCAACTGGTTTAATGAAGGTGTTACCTTCATAATGGATATTTTTTCTCTCATGACCACTATGACCGCTGTTGTTTTTAATGGTTTACCTTTGCATGTAAAAGAAGAAAATCAGCTTGGTTAGGCTGAAAATTGAAGAAAGAGAGGCAGAAAGATTGCTTGACTTTCTGCCTTCTAGCAATTGTTAGTTCAAAATCACTAGGTTATAGGGAAATATTTATTTATCAAGCTTAATTTAATTTCCAGTAAACTCTGAGCCTCCATTAATAAATCAAACTCATCATTTCTGGCTATGGGGGATTTTACAGCATCAGAATAATTAGTATCACTAAAGTGTTTGTACTATAATTTCCTCTGTTTCCAGTAGTCAGAATATGAATGCTATTGATTAACCAAAATAACATAAAAAAGGTGTTTTGTTTATGTGTTGGTAGCCCTTGCAATAACATATCAATAATAGAAGTTTGATAGTACCTTTGCCTTCATTATTAAGCTTTTTACAAGTCCATCCTCCCATGTAACAACAACATTTGGAATTCCATGTCAAATTCCAGTTGTTGCTTTGTTCAAAATTCTTTCTTTTTCACAAAGTAGAGGAAAAAAAAGAGTGGCTCTACCATTGTTAATAAAGGGAGGGGGAGGAGAGAGACATAGGTAACTTAAGTGATTTATTTCGTTCTGTGGAAGCAGATATTTTATTTCATCTAGTAACACAATAACAGCCAATAGTTTTTCCACTGTGAGAAAAGGATTTTTATCTGTAAAGACAACATATGGTTGTTAAAAGTTCAACTCAGTTTCCAGGTGCTAACAGTTTCTGTACTGTATGATTGTGATGCATTATATCACTTATTTCTTCCCAATTTTTTACACTTTCTGGGGAAATACATTGCAGGAAAATATTCTGATGTTTTATTAACTAATAAAATTCATACCTATTATTTAAATATGTATATTTGTCATTTTTCCATTTTAAAAGACAGTAATTGCTCCATCTTTAATTGGTTTCAAGAATACACCAGTTAGTCACAACTGAAAAACTGAACAGCAGTATGACTAGGTGGGGGTCTACTGCTGTACTGACATATTTTAAAAGTTTCATGTGTTTGGTATGGAGTTTTTCTACTGATGATTCTACTGTCATGAAGAAATTCCACTAGAGAATCCTAACACTCTGTTACAAAGCAGCAGATTCCAGAGAGGTATGCTAGGATTTTTGCAGCAAAAATAAGAAAGTGTCTTGTGTTGGGACCTAAACTTTGGTGGTTGAGAGCCAGGTTCAACTGATCATTAAGGTTTACACCACAGATACAAACAATTAACTTTAGGATAGCACAAGACTCTCCCTTAAAAAAAAAAGATTGTCACATATTCGTTTGTCCTTATAATGTACTGTACACTATAATGCTGAATCAGTTTTATACTAATTTTAACTACTTGGCAGAAGGAGCATGTTCTGGGCCCCATTTGTCAAAGAGTGTTGGCTGGCAGGGCCCAGGAGGAGAGCCCTTTCTGTCATGGCACCTGCCTTCTGGAATATCATCCCTCCGGAGATCAGATTGGCCCCATCTCTGCTGGTGTTCTGTAAGGCCCTGAAAATCTTGAGCCTGGGGCCCCAGATATGTGAGGGATCCTGCCTTTTGATTATGTTGATTGCTGTTTGTTGTTTATGATTCTCTGCTGCTATGGGTTTTATGTTTTTAAATGTTTTTATTATTTTAGTGTTGTAAGCCACCCAGAGTCATTTATTTGAGATGGGCACCTAAATAAATCTGTGAAATACATACATACATATATAAATATCTTGGCATTACCCAAAGGAGGCAGGAAATTGTAATTTGGTGAGAGTGTTATCTCAGAGGGTTTCCTGAGAAAAATGAGTATTATCAAACCAGATTAAGAACTGATGTGCCCAAAGGTTAGATCTCTGCTTAATGTGAATTAGCAGTTCAGTGCAGCCAGAAAAAAACAGCTCTATTTATTTAAATTGATGTTCCCTTCCCTTTGGCTTGCCTCTAAAGACTCAAGCAGTACATTACTTAAGAATCCAGACTTTTGGTACTTGCAAGCAAAAAGTGTCTTTCTCAACTCCAGAAGGTAACTTTTACTTTGAATATAAGATAATCATATTTTCTCCAAACAGGATGAAGATGAATTGTATATTGAAGCTGAGGTACAGACATCTAATGTGGAAATTCCAGAAGGAAATAGGTGGCGGTGGTCACGACTCCATAAAGAAGTCGAGTTGCAAACTTCCATAATTTCAGTACCCATTGCAGAAGCAGAGTCATCATCTGAGGCTGATGTTCAGATCCAGACTTCATTTTCAAGCATACCTAGAGAAGTTGATGCTCGTGCACAAACTTCATTTCTCTCCCTGCGGAGCCCAACCCCAGTTGAAACCGATGCCCAAATCCAAACCTCATTTGCTGAATTACGAAGAATTGTTGAGGCTGAAGCTCAGGTGCAAGCATTGCTGCGTTCGTTACCAGAGGAAAAGGAAGCCCAGATGCAAACATCACTGTCATCATTACGTGGAGAAATGGAGGCCCAGGTGCAGACTTCACAGCTGTCATTACCTGAAGGAAAGGAGGCCCAGGTGCAAACATCACTGCTATCATTACCTGAAGAAAAGGAGGCCCAGGTGCAAACATCACTGCTATCATTACCAGGAAGAATGGAGGCCCATGTACAAACATCACTACTGTCACTGCCTGAAGAAAAGGAGGCCCAGGTGCAAACCTCATTTACTTCCCTACCAGATAGGGACTCTGCAATATCTTTGGCAGAGTGTATCCAGGCCCAGCCCTCTTATCTAGAATTGTTAGAGAAGATTGCTTCTTTGCCAATACTAGTTGAGGCTAAAGTGCAAACTTCACCTACTGATTTTCTCATTCCTTCACGGACAGATATGCAAGTGCAGACTTCATTTTCAGACTACATGTCAGAAAAGGAGGATGTATCCTCTGTTGAGAATGAATTCCAGACTAAGTTGTCATCGTATCAGTCATCACTGGTGGAACTGAGCAACTTATACCCTACATATGTTAATGCTGAAGTGCAGACTTTACCTGTGCAAGTACCACCTGGGAATGATTGGCGCACTGCACGATTGAATGCTGAGGCCCAGGTTCAGACCTCATTTACTTCAGTGATAGAGGAACCTGAAATCCAGGTACAGCCATCACAGCTTGAATTAGAAGAAGAAGAAGAGTTGGGAGCTCCTCTGCTCATAGAAAAGAAATCTCTCCCATCTCATTTGACTGAGGCTTCTGCACAAACATCTGACACTTTGATTCGGCAATGGGACAAGTGGCATTTATTACATCCGCAAGCTAGCGTGCAGGTCCAAACATCAACTGCTGAATTGCTAAAGAAGCTTTCTTTGCTGTCACAGATTGAGACCACAGAATCACTTTCCCGTGCTGAATTACTAAAGAAAATTTCTTCACTGTCAGTGGCTGAACCCCAGTTGCAAATGTCAAGCCATGAATTAATGCGGAAGGCTTCTTCTTGGTCAGATACTGAGGCCCAAAACCTGGTCTTCAGTGATGAGCTTTTGGAGAAGCGTCCCTTTTCAGCACAAGCGCTACCAACCTCAGATTATGAATCTGCAAGACCACTTTCTTCATCATCATTCAAAAAAGAAGCTCAAGTGCAAACATCTGACATAGAACTAATGAAAAAACTCTCTTCCTTGTCACAGACCAAACTCCAGGAGAAGTGCTCCTCTTTGTCCTTGATTGAGGCTGAGAATGAAAAGCAGGAGGTAACAGAGGGAAAGGAGTACCTTGTTACACCACAAGTAATAGAAGCTCAGATCCGCAAATGGTATCATGAGCTGCCAGAAGTTCAGACATCAGCTTCTCAGACTCCTTTTCAAAGAGACCGTCTTTGGTCTTCAGCAGTTGACAGTGAGGTACAAACATCATATGTTGAAATACCATTTGGAAATAGATGGCGGGAGTCACGTCTGCAAGCTGAAGCTGAAGTGCAGACTGCAGGACTTGAATTGTCCAGAGAAGAAATAGAATCTCTTTCCCCAAAACAATCGGAATCTCAGAGACAAGCCTCCTTGCTTGAAGTATGGCGAGCTAGAGACTTAGCTGATGCCCAGATGCCTACTTCAGTATTAGACTCACCCAAGACAGTGGAGTCTCCTGCTCCATTAGTAGTTGATAGTGAGGCACAAACATCACTGCTTGACATCTGGAAAGTAAAAGAACAAATGGATGTTCAAGTGCAAACTTCTGTAAGTGAATTGTCAAAGCAAGGAATTATATCTCCTCCCACAGAACAGGTAGACAAGTTGGCTCAGACCTCCTTTCTTGATGTATGGAAGGCCAAAGAATTGGTTAACATTCAGCAGAAGATATCTGAAACTAAGTTAGAGGAGACAAAAGTGGAGCCTTCTCCCCAACTGAAAGCTGACTTTGAAATGCAGACATCTTTGACAGATATATGGAGGAAAAAAGAACAATTGGACACCCAAGCACAAACCTCCTTTGTTGATGTAGTAGAGGGAAAGGAAGAGCCTTCTCTTGTATCTCAGACTGGTGATGCTGAGGTGCAAACATCAGATATTGATATTCCATCAGACTTGTATGCTGACTTTCAGCAGCAGACTTCACTTGAACTAGATGAGACACCTCCACCATCACAAATGGATATCCAGCCACAAGCCTCTCTCCTTGACCTATGGAAAGCAAAAGAAGAGTCTCATCTAGTGTCACAAATGGATGCTCAGATGCAGACCTCAGATACTGACATGCCTGGGGAGGATTCGTGGCATCCATCTCACTTGTATGCTGACTTTCAGCAGCAGACTTCACTTGAACTAGAAGAGTCACCTCCACCATCACAAATGGATACCCGGCCGCAAGCCTCTCTCCTTGACCTATGGAAAGCAAAAGAAGAGTCTCATCTAGTGTCACAAATGGATGCTCAGATGCAGACCTCAGATACTGACATGCCTGGGGACGATTCGTGGCATCCATCTCACTCATATGCTGATTTTCAGCAGCAGACTTCACTTGAACTAGAAGAGGCAAAAATTGAAGCACCACAGATGGACACCCAAGTACAAACCTCCCTCCTTGACATATGGAAAGCAAAAGAACTGAATAATGCCCAGCTGCAAACATCTTGGATTGATTTGCCAGAATCCACAGAAAAATCTTCTTTCCCCTCTGAATCTGAGATCCCAGTTCACCCATCCCTGGTTGTAAAGGCAGAATCTCCTCCTCCAGCCCAAGTCACTACACAGGTACAGACCTCCTCCCTTGATATATGGAAGACAAAAAATCTAACAGATGCTGAAATTCAAACTTCCCTGTCCTATTTGCCACCAACTACTGAGGTACTTCCTCTCTCACCACAGACTGAAAGCTCAAAGCAACCACCTACACCTGAAATATTGAGGGTGATAGAGCCAACGGAAGATCAAATAAAAACCACTATGACTAAATTTCCAGTTACCAGTGCTCAAACCTCCCCAACTGATATGCAGGCTCCAGATGACCTTCCAAATGCCCAGGTACAATCTCCTGGGACCACTTTACCAAGTTCCCCATCATTCACAGATGTGTCATCCATCCCATCACGAATGGATGTGTCTCCTGCTCCTTTGCACACACAGGCGTCTCCTGCTCCATCACGCACAGAAGTGCCTCCTGCTCCATTGCACATGGAGGTGCTTCCTGTCCCATTGCACATGGAGGTGCTTCCTGCTCCATTATACATGGAGGTGTCTCCTGCTCCTTTACACACAGAAGTATTTCCTGCCCCTTTGAGAACTGAAGTGTCTCCTGCTCTTTTGGGCATTGAACAATTGCCTGCTGTGTCGCATATAACTGAGTCTCCCACTCTTCCATGCATAGCTGAGTCTCCTGTTCCATCACGAACTTGCAGTCCAAAGAGACCACCAACTCCTGCCTCAGGATGTGCGAAAATTGAGACTTTCCACCTAGAACAGAGTAGTGCTCTGGTGCAAAAATCATTGCTTGAATTATGGGCCCTGAGAGAGGAAGCAGTGCTCCAAGTGCAAAATACCAATCTTGGCCTGTCCTTTGAGGAAGATTTGCGATTGTTTCCAAGGCTAGTAGAGAGTCCAGTGAAAATTGCAGATGTTAAAATACAAGAAGGGAAAAAATTAGATCAAATTTCCAAAGTGGAGATGAAGTCAAAAACTCCTGTATTTACTGAAGCTCAGGTTCAGACCTCATATGTTGACATACCACGAGGAAAGAAATGGCGTTCGTCTCGCATATGTACAGAGGCACAGGTGCAAACTTCTTCACATGAAGTCCATGTGAAAGACAGGATTCCAGCCATACGTGATCATACAGTAGCCAAAAGGTAAGGAAAAGGAGACTCTTCTTTATTCCATATCTTCCATGATTTCTACCTGTGTCTAGGACTGAGAGTTAAATGGATGCCACTGTGGCTGGACCAAATGATTTGAGACTGCAGACAGAAGATTTAGTGTTAAGGGGCTCCCCTGTATAAACTGTTCTCTGTGTGTACCAAGCTAGAGATAAAGATTTTAGGTGGACTTTCTCCTGATGTTTTTGTTTTGAATGTGCTGACAATATTTCATATATAGAAAACTATATGGGAAAGTAAGGGGTCGCTACATTTTATATAGGTTTGGTAGATAGGAAAAAATTGTGATCACTGAATATGGCCCTTGGCTGAGTGATGAGGTTTAGTATGTTGAGCTTTTCAAACACAGGTATAATATTCTATTTTCCTACCCAGTTCCAAACTCCTTTCAGAGCTCCTTTGAAGTCAAAGCACAGTGAGGGAAAACACCTGCACCAGTCTTCTCAGTATCTCTGTATTTCTGTGTGGTTTGGGACACCCTTGACCTTCTGGAGTCTCATGAGAACATTGGTGGCCAGTGATACCTGATACATATGCTTGTAGGACCCCCAAGAAGAGCATTCAAATATTCATTCTGATTTTCCTATCCGCAGTCTCAAATTATGCAACCCAGAATCATATTATTCAAATATGCTCCTGCTGATCAGTGTTACATGTTGATGTAACAGAAAAAAGTGCTATGAAAGATATCTGTGAGGTTGTTTTCCCCATTCATAAGTTAGCTGGTTCATGGTCACTAAGTGAGCATTATGGATATAATGGGATTTAATTCATGTTTTCCTGACCTCAGTCTAAGACAGTATTTATTAACTCCACAGGCTCCTTAGTAAGTCTGCTGAATTACTTTTGAAAGTTTCACAGTTTGTTTTGTCCATCAAGATCTTTACAAGGTAAAGAGAAATGGATTTGAGCTAAGTGGAACTCTCAGAATAAATTATTAGTCTGAGTACAGACCACATTAGTTGCTCTTAGGTCCCACTGAAATGAGTATGAAATGGTAACACATTTCACATTGAGCACTCTTTCAGTTTGTGTTGATACCTACAGTGAAATCCAACTATCTCAGTGTGGAAGATAGTAAAAGTGCTAAGAAAGCATATTCTAGTTTTAATTACTGATGTCTTCTTTGAAACTAAAACAGTAGTTCACTTTTTTTTTAAATTATGTTTTTGTCATTTCAATTATACAATTCTAATCACAAAAAAACTTCCAAAAATAATACTTGCTGCAGAGGCATTAATTAAAATTAATTAATTAAATTTAAATTAATTAAACAGGGAGTAATTAAAATTTGTTGCAGATGTGTCATTGCCTCTTGAGGGGTAAGTAAACAGGAAATAATAAATGACAATAACTGAAGACTGAAAGATCTGTGAAACTTCAACAGTATTTGCCTGTCTACAGTGAACAAACTATTGCTACAAATCTGTTCTGAGTAAAGGAAGGATGACTAAGAAAACATTGGAATGTGATGGATTGTCACTGTCTGGATTCTTTGTAAAAGTGGAGTGGACTAATATTTATTCCAGACTAAATATGTAATATGGAAGCCATCCATTCAGGTCAGGAAACATAATAGACTGGATCCACTCCTGTAGCTCTTAAGGCCCATTAAACTCAATGTGCCCTATGTTACTTGTGTTACCATTTCATACTCATTTCAGTGGGACCTAAGAGCAACTAATGTGGTCTGTACTCAGACTAATAATTTATTCTGAGAGTTCCAAGCAGTATGATAAATCAGCTGCTTATATTATATATGCATATGACAGTTTTGTTTTTCAGAAACAGGTGTATTGGCTGCAGATATTGTTTCAAAACAAGCAAAACCTGTTTGGTCAGAGACAAGCAAGAGAGACGAACAATATATTCTATACCATAGAAAGTAGATTCCCTCTAATTTAATGTTAGCTTTACTAAGAAGTGTTTTTTGCATTCTAAAACATGAGGGGGACTAAACCATTTCTTTCTTTTTTTTTTTCCATTTCTGGAACTGCAGGGTACCTAAAGGACCAAGGCGAGCAGCACCACTATCTGTGCACTTACACATAAAGATGGCTCCAAAGCGTTGACCTAAGAATGAAAAAAAATAGCGAGTACTTGAATTTAAAGAAATAAAAGATTACAAAATACCACAAACATAAGCAATGGTTACTTCTGTAGGCAATGTGCAAGAATAGATTTTTGAGGATGCATGTGAAAGAACATGGATATGAATCTGTGAAGCAAAACTGCCAGTAAAAAAATGGAAATAGAGTAACAATCTCTAGTTCTGCCTTCCCAACCTAGTACCCTTGGATGAATTTGTCCATCTTTGGAGGGGATGAAACTCTAGTGAGTTTCTTTTTTTAACTCTGTTTTAAAAAAAACCATGATTGTGCTAAAAATATCTTCTGCATTTTTGGATAATTCTCATTCAACTGGATGAAACTAAATTACTTCAGATAAATGGAAAAGAAATTACTGCAAAAAATGGTAATGTATAAGGTATGTATTTATGAGATAATTGGAAAGTTCTGTCTTTCATTCTGAAGTCATCTCCAGTTGTCTGCAGTCTTCTTGTTTTCTCCTATCAGCTGCTAAAAATCCAGGCTGCTTTTTCAGATCAAGAGGGGGTGGCAGCTAATAGGTTGTGGCATGGTGAGGAGATAGATCTATACCCACCACTGACTCCCTCCATAAAGTGAACTCAAGTCAAGGTCAAATGAAATTCAGAACAGGAACAAACAAAAGCATATTAAGCATGCATATGATTTTAGCCTAAAAAATATACATGCATTTATTTTAAACAAGTATAACTCTAAATATGTATAGTGCGAGAGAACTGCAAAATGCCATGGCTTATTACAATTTGCAGTTAATACAATTTCTTAGCTTTTAGTATCTAAGAAAATAAAGTCTCCTTCAAGTCAAGCTCTACTGCTAATGACTCCATGGCCATGGCCATGTACTTTCCTGGACAACAGTATATAGATTGTTTGCCAATTGTCTTCCAGGATCATTTTCCCAGGCTAATTTATAGCGCTGGAATTTCTTGGTGGTCTCTCATTCAAATACTAACCAGACCCAACCCTGCTTAGCTTCCAAGCAAAGACAAAATTGGTCGGTGGAATCACACTATTTGAGAAGGAGGGGAAAAATTACAATGGAAATAAATTGAACAAATTGAATATATTCTTTTAACATGGGTACAATTTCTTATAGACTTTGTATACTCTTCTCATGGGAACTGATGCTATATGCAGAAACTTATCTTGAATTTGAATATTGCGCATGCTATGTTATGTGCAGATTTCTGTTGATGCTGTTTCCTACTAGATATTTTCATTTAATAAAATAATGTCTTTAATGGGGTGGTGGAATAACATTGGTTCTCTAGTGAAAGTCTTAACCATTTGATGGCTTCTTATGAATCATGAAGTGCAGCAAAACTGAAACAATTCCTGAGTGAAAGCTCTTAGTTGTAAATACTCTTTCCATACTCTTGGACACTCTTATGGGACAGTTCAGTTGCTTTGGATTTTGTTATCCTTTCTCTCATTTTTATATATCTTATTAAAGAGAGTAACATATTTAACTAGTAAATACTGTAAATGCTTCAAATTGCTGGACCATGATTTTCTTTTTTATTTCTGAGAAAAATTATATAATTTCAGTTACAATCTTTCCTGTTTGTTGTGCTATTTTTAGAGATGGAAGATTGCATCAAAGACTTAACACGTCCTAATTACTTGCAATTTACATATAATTCAACATGTACTGTAGTGAAAAATAAAAGAGTAGTGAAAGAAAAGAAGGAAACTGAAATGTCCGGCATGCTTACTTTAAACAAGTCTAGAAAAAAAGAGAATCTTCTTTCATTGAGATTAAGAGAGTTGCAGTATTATATACCCAGAAAGGCTCTCACCAATTGCATTTTGAGATTAAATAAATGCATTTTGACTGCATTTTGAGATTAAATAAATGATGAATGGATCAAACAATAATACGCAGTTTATGCTTTTTTAGTGCTTAAACTAGCTAATGAAGAATGAAGAAATGATTCAATGAAGAAATGATTCTACTAAGTCAATTCATGCAGTATGTACAGTATTGTACCACGGCTATAGAATTCCTATATGGATACATTTGATATTTCTTCCCATTTCTGGGCATCAAAAACATGTCAGATTAATTTTGTTCATCCGGTAGAGTTTGAAATCAAATCACGCTAGTACAATTCACTTTGAAGAATGTAATCTCAGTCACTAAATCACTGAAGCATAGTATAATCATTATGCTTCAGTGAATATTCTTTTGTCCAGTTCTCACATTTCTTTTTTTCCATTTAAGACCCCTATTCAGAACAAATCTTACTTAAGGTTCTTTTTTCCTTTACGCGATGAAGAAAGGCTGCAAGAGCAGAAAGAAGCTAGGAAGGACAATGTGGAATATGAGGTAACTTGCTGACTTTTTTTTAAAAAAGGAGTTCCTATTGATTGTAAACATGGTTGTATGATTTCAATTAAAGTAAAAACTATTTACCTATTTTTCTAATTTTGTACCAGTATCTTGAAAGAAAGTGATTTTGCTCCTAGCAGAATGATCCTATGTATCTTATAGACACATGTATGTGTGCTTGGTAACAAATATTTTATCCTGGCTTTTTGTCTTCCTCTACTGGATTTGTTGATTTGGATGGGAAAGGAGTGTCATTTGAGTGAATACAGCTATTGATGGATTGATGCAGGTCATGGAAAATAGCTTTGGAATTTCTGCCTTTACACACACACGTTTATTACAGCCCTAAGGCCAGATACAATCAAAATATACAATAACAACCATCTTAGATTTATATATATCTATAAAACAAAACAATATTATTTAATCT